ATGAGGACTAAAAGTTTCATATAGTAGACAATGGAAGTCCGAACTAGTGAAATATATGTATCTTTTCTATTCCATTCTGATTTTACCATTCTGTGAAAATTATACGTTCTGTAATGAGTGGAATAAACTGGAGACTGGAGTGACAGTTTCTTCAAAAAAGTATGAAACTGCTAATTACTCAAAAACCACTAATTCGATTTCCGAAATTGAACTAGTTTTAGAAAGAAAATTGAAAGACCTCTCACGGACCCTCTTTTGATTTGAAAAAAAGTTGATAGCGACTCCTACGAAGACTGATGTCACTCTAATGTTCTTCTTATTGAAAAGTACTGAAAATTATCATTTTTTCGAATTTCGTGCGACCTTGTTATTTTGTCCCCTTTGAAAGTCAAGGGTGCGAAGACATTTTACGTCCGCTCTGTATGGTTGTCATCTTCGCTATGCTAGGGAAGGGAGAAAGCAAATAATGGACACGCACGGAAAGGTTGGTGTGGGTACATGCTGACAGTAATCGATGTTCAAGACACTAATTGGGGCATATACAACGCCCTCCAAGTATCAACGGACAGTCCTCAGGGGGGCACGGGGGGCAAAACACACGATGCTCCCAGTAGACCAGGCATACCTATTAACGGAACAGCATCTGAAGTTGTTGGTATCTTTTCAGCTACTAGGTTGAGAAATACTGTCAATGAAAGAAGTATGGTGACACCTGAAATGAAGATTCTTCAATAGAGGACTTCGGATTAGGACTCAGGGTTGCTACCACCAACATCCTGCGTCAAAATTATCAACAATTTCACCGACAGATTTTCATGAAATCAGTATCCCAAGGATTTCTTAAAAAATCAGCGTTGAACAAATTGTATAGTAATGAATGTATCTAAATACTCCATCAAATAAAAATATTCAGGGATTTTTTTGTGGAAAAATCCGTGGAAACAATTATTGTTAGAATAATATGTATACAGGGTGATTCAAACTTCAGGAGGCGATTCCTCACAATATTCTAATATGAAGAACAATAGAATTTATGA